ACAGTACATCATCAACTGAATCCAGTGTGATAGGGTGCTAATGGCTGTTTTCATGAGGCCAGGTCAAAGGTGAAAGAGGTGCCGAGGCATGACCTCAAACAGGTCGTTCCGATTTAAAAGCCCTTCAACGTTGCTGAATTAAAACGACGTTGCAAAGAGTCGGACAAAGTTCCTGCACAGTGACGCAAAAGACGATGGCAGCTGTTGTTGCCATGGGTGGAGCAACTAGTTAATAGGTTTGTTATCAAATTCCATTAGATTAAATCTCACCCAGTTTCTGCTACCACGAGCGTTATGGGTTTCCAGACTGATCATTACCAGAACTGTCACAATCTGAGTGCAAATTGTCAGAGAATAGAAATCCATGAACCTGGTGGATAAACCTGATATTTTAGAAGCTTATCTTACTCCAAAAGGTGTCGGGAGTGATAAAGAGCAATTTCAGTGCATAACTGGCAGTAAACATTGAAACAATACCAAGCTGGAAATGGGTAGATGACCCATTGTGTTATTGTACAATTTCATCTTCATTTCCTTCTTTAATTGTGACTTTTTCTGTTTTAATGAGTAAAGCAGGAAAAGTCATGTTTTATCACGGCTTTGCTTAGTTTGTTTAGTTTCCTGGTGCTGAGTGGCTTTGTCCGTTTCTGTGCAGCAATTCCTGCTCAGCTTTCCCACTTCCAAGATGCTAATGTATTCGGCAGTGGGGATGGTGGTGGGAGTCCGTCCCACAGTCGGTGGGTTGCCGGACCGCTCTACCTGCGTCTGTAGCGTATGAACGTGTTCAAGCCATTTACCATCGACCATCCAGCTCATCCAGGAAATCACTGTCACCCAATCACTGTAATGTAAACTCCTGGTTTTCTCTCAGTTTCTGGTCAGAATCTCCTGTCTGCTCTTATCCACCAACATCCTTCCCAAACCGCTGGACTTTCTTTCATTTCTTTCGATAATAATCTTCTTCTTCTTCGGCTGTTCCTGCAGCTTAATGCTTTTAAAGCAAGAACTATAAAACAGCATACATCTTTGCAGTGTACTGATACACTGCAACCTAAATAAAGTGAGCATGTTAAAAGGATAAAACAGGTATACTAATTCCTCTGTTAGAGTACAGAATCATTATGTTTCCTAATCAGTTTCATAATCTATCAAAATTCGGTCTCAAGGAGAATTTTTTTTCTTCCTTTCAGTAATATTTGTCGCAAATTTAAAGACAATAATTGATTTCTCTATATTTTTAAAAGAGTCAATTAGCACCAATTTAGGGTAAATTGTATGCGGATAAGGGTTGCAATTCAGAGTTTAGCACAATCACTATTTAAAGTTATGAGTAATTTCATGAGAATGCACTAGAATGGATTATTTTAGTGTTCTGAATTTCCAAATTAGCAAAGCAAAATCATTCACTGTGGATGAACTTTTCCATATACTGATAGGTATTTCGACAGGCTGCTTTCTACCACAACACATTGAGGTTTTCAGAACATAAATATCAAGTCTGGACCTCTATCTGTGCAGGTTAAGATTTCACTACGATGAAATTTAACACGCCCAGAAGAACTCTTTAGAAGTGATCTGAAGAAAGTAATGTTTGTATCTAAAAGATCAAATCTAACGAATTTGTGTACAAGAGCTGAAATGAAAAGCACAACATGCTAACATCTCTGCTGTGTTGCAGATAATCAGAAACATTGATGGTGCAGTGCCTTCTTGTAAGTGTGAAAAACCCAAGGGGTTTTTCTGGCCTGAGTGGCTTCAGTTTTCTTTTGGATGTTTTGTTTCTGTTAATTTAGTCGGAAATGTCTGTTTTTACAACGGTAGTCTACACGGCCGTATTTATTCATATTATATAACAACCAGGCCACCGATTGTAATCTGAAACATGACGTTGCTGTAAGCGGTTGATAGAATATGTAGAAATTCATGTAATCTGCAATATCTGAATTAGGATCCTATGCTCTGTTTATCTAGAAACCTTTATCAGCTGACTCTGTGAACTCTGGTATCTCAAAGTAAAACAGATAAGGGGAACATAAATCAATGAACAAAGATTTCCCTGACTCCGCCAGAGGCACAAGATCTCAGAGTAACAATCTGATGTTAATACTGAAATATAATGTGCAGCATTTTAGAACCGTTCTGTTATTAACTATGTTGAGCTTTGTACAATCTCACCCATTCAACATGAACTTGTTAACTTGTTTCAGCAAGAAAACTACAAAACAAATCAAGTTACTTATTTACAGTAATATACAAACATGGCGATCACAATGTTTTGTTAATTGGTGCAGTGGGAAGGACTTTAACACACGCTTGCACACTCTGAAACCTTTTGCACAAGACCTCAATGATGGAAGTAACTCTTTTATTCCACCAATGATGATCCTGAAACTATGTTTGATTATTTCTGCTATGTTTTCTAAGACCAGCATATTTTGTAAAGTATGCAATCAGAGCTTCCTGACCAACAAAGGAATTGTCCCTTTCAGATTGATTATTGAAAGAGTCCAAACAGACCAGTTTTATTTCCTGAGTCTGATACAAGATCTGACCCATGTTTTTCCTTCCAGGTCTGCCTCATATTTACTTCCTCTGACCAGCTTTCCGATCCCTGCCAAAGAAACACGTTCCCACTGCATGACGCTGCCACCACCATGTTGTGCTATGAGGATGGCGTTCCTTGTGATGTACGGTATTAACTTCGATGCCAGAGCGTTTTGTGCCACGTGTGTCCTCTGTACAGCATTTAGCAAACTTTAAAAAAGGTCATATTATAACGGCTTCCTTTTGAAAACACTTCCTTCCTTTGTGGGGGTGCAACATTCCTACAACTTTATCCTTGACCTGTGACTAATGTTTTAAAAATAGCACAAATGAATGCTTTAACAAGTATGCAACAAACACTCTGACAAGGCGATGTAAATGTTTTTGTTATTTTGTAGGCCGACACGTTTGTGCTTTCAAATGATTCCAAATCAAATCCTAAAGACTTTTTAAAGGAGCTCATTTACGAGGTAAATCTTTTACCAGGAGGCTATTTTAAGAGAGGGAACACACTGTGATCAATGCCTGCTGGCTGTCACTTCAATAAAACCCTTCTGAGAACATGTGAAGGCGGCGCACTAAAAGCATTTAGGAAATGTTCACCAGTCACTTTGGGCTGTTTCTCTTGTGGCGAGGCCTTTGCAAACTGCAGAATTCGCTCAACTCTCGAAACTGCATTACTGCTCTCAATGTAAATAAATCTGAATATGCACATTCAATATGAACGTTGTTTGTATGTGCATGCACAAACAATGTTTTTGTTAGCTTCAGGTGCTTGGATGTCTTGGCAGATAAGCTCAACAAGAACATGACGTCATTTCTTTTTTGGTGATTTGCAACTGCAGAGAGAAAAGTATCGAAGTGGTGGGGAAAACGTTCTACCCTTCAGCCTGCCTGCTCTTGCAGCCCCTCACTTTTTAAAAAGTTTTTCTACTTTGCAAATCAAACATTGATCAAACTGTATGATATAATTCTTAGCCATGTCTGGTGTTATATATTGGAGGATTTATGTATTTACATAGGGACAGGTTGTCGCTATGTTTTTACGCAAGGATAAACATAGGGATTTTTCCTCAAGCAAATCATCAAATGGAAACTGTATTTTCACTTTTACACAGGCTGATGAAATGTGTTTCACGCTCTGAAACACGAGAGGGACACAACGAAACCCAAACAGAAACAGGCTTCATCTAAATGAGGATAAAAAGTGTTTTTTAAAAATTCCTAGCTAAAAAGAAGCAACCGTGTCAATATCCTCATAACCCAAATAATCCATTTACAGCTTCATGTGAACGACATTTCAGAAACATAGGAGAAGTCCTGCATTGACTGATGTGATTGTCTTTTCTAATTTAAATCATTGGTGTAATGAAAACCCCCAGGCGGCGTCAGCAGAAGCAGCTGAAGCAAGAGACGGCTTCCACCTGTTCATGCAACTTTAAAGGGCTTTTCTGTGTCGCTGCTGTGCCAGCACCATGGACAGAGTTTGGCTCCTGAGGCTTGTGTTTAGTCACTTTGGATAATCATTTATTTATTTTTTTTTAAAGATGTGCTTATCTCCTTCAACCTCATAACACATTTTACAACACAATCAGTTCTTCTGATAGTGTTATCAGTATGACTGGCTCTTGGCAACTGAGAGAAAAAAAGAAAGAAAAAAGAAAAAGAAAACCACAACAAACAGCGTGAACCTGCAAGTTACCACAGAAAGACTCCCCTCAACGCCGTCGTCTCAGGATGACGAACCAGTGATGCAGAGCGTTGTCATGGCCGCTTAAAGCATTGCGAAGCACAGTCTGCGTGCGAACACTCTAATTGTTTTCTGCGCTGAAAGCAGCCTGCCTGTGGCTTTGTTCAGGCCTGTCAGGGAAGCATGGATGGCTGCAGGGGGTCTCTACAAAGAAGAGCCCAAGTATGTAAAGAATGACCTGAAATACAGTCAAGCAAGGCAACCTACTTCTTAAAAATAGATGCACTTTAACAGTCAGCTGCTGTTGTTTGTCTTTGCAGCCTGATTAGTCAGAAAAAAAACCCCCAAGAAAAACAAAACATCTCGGTTCAAGACGGCTGTTTTTGTTTTGAGCCGACCTCCGTCGGCCTCGCTTGCATATTCAGGTACACCAGCGCTGTGTGCAGTGGCAAGCAATCAAGGAAAAACGCAGGGTGACAGGGTATTTCTGTGCTTCCCCGACTTATAAATCGCAGCATTCTTTCCACAGATCCCTGTGATAACACGGCCCTGAGTAGCAGGTAAGCTCATTACTGATGTGAAGCGGTAAATTCCTGAGCCATTCACCCATGCAAGGTCTCCTTTTGAACCCAGAAAAGTGTTTGCTTGACACACAATTGAATCACACATGTTCCTCTAATAGGATTTTGTGTTCCTTTGAATTTCTCCTCTCATGAGTTACTTTATTTACTTTGGCACAGAAAACAAAATTGTAGTTCTTTTGTGCGTGTGTCTAACCTTGTTTTTATTGATCTTTTAATGACGCTTTACAGATATAAGTATGATTTACCAAAACAAACAAGAATAAATTCCCTTAAGCAATCAGTCGTATGATAAAGGCTAATTCATACCGACATATTATATTCAATCAATCAATCAATCAATCAATCAATCAGTTTATTCATTCGATTTAACAGATTTTAATCTTTAAATTGTATAAAATAAATTGGTTAGATTGAACTAAAAACAAACAAACAAACAAAAATCCATGCATGTCCCATATTTCCATGCTTGTATTCGAACTTGCGTTCTGCTTCTTAGGGCCTGTGACTCAGTCGCTTCAGTTCCCTCATCCGGAGTTAAAAATAACCCGGTTGCATCTCCACCTCTGATGATCCTCCACTTTTGTTTCCGACGCGTACCTGTAGACCTCGGGCACGTACTTCCAGCCTTCGATTTACAGGCACAAACAGAACAACACGCGGCCTTCCCGGATCGAACTCATCCCTTAGCGACCTCTCTGCTGGAGGAGTGGAATTTGTTCAGGTGCTCGCTTTCTGCTCCCTCTTTCTTCCTCTTGCGCTCTCACTGCTTCTCCAGCTTCCCCCGTTCATCACACGTTCTCCCTCTTAGCCTGGGACGACTGTTCTCTGCCTGCACGCCCCGTGTCTACTTCCCGCTTCGAGTTATTGGCTGCCGTTCTGAAAGAGAGGAGAGGAGAGGTCAGAGAGAAAAGATGTTGCTTCTTTGGGGGGTTTTTTATCGATGGTTTCTCAATCTCACCTCATGATGTGGAGCATGTCAAGCTGAGGTTTCTTCTTAGACCGGATCTCATTACTGCAGACAAGGAAACAAAAATGTCAGCCAAGCACAAACTGCAATTCTCCCCTCTTTACAGGTCGACTAACGGTCCAGTCATCTGATCAAAACTGCATCACTTCTGAGTTTTAAAACATCAATGTATCACAATTCATCTGCCCCGCATACAGTGCCTAACAAAGTCTATCACACACATTGAACTTTGGCATGTTGTGTGGTCAAGCTGGCATCACTTAAGGAAGCAGTCAAGAAGTCCCTATTGACTCTGAAGGAGCTGCAGAAATCCACGGCTCAGGTGGAAGAATCTGTTGCCTGGACAACGACTCTGTCCAGACTCCATAAATCTTTCCTTTACAGGAGAAGATGTAAAGGAGAAGATTAAACTTTTTGGTTTACGGTGACAATGTTATGTTTGTGGAATGAAAACTAACGCTGCACCTCGCTCTGAAAGTGAGGCAGCATCATGACATAGAGATTCTTATCTTCAGCCAAGACAGGGAAGCAGGTCAGAGCCGATTTGACGACCGATGGTGGCAAATACAAAGGAAGTGAGGAAGAAAACCTGGAAAAGGCTTGAGACTCAGCCAGGGCAATCACTTTCCAGGAACTCATGGATGCCTACTACACCTTAAAGGTTTTCAAAAACATGTTGCATCATTTTCTACCTGGTGCTGTTCTATCATGTAAGATCCCAATAAAGCACATTGAAGTTTGTGGCTGCAACACGAACCCCCCCCCCCCCGCCCCACCAAAAGAAAACAAAAAACAATCTGTAAATGTTTAAATGTTGGAAGAACCTTTGCAAAGGCCCTGCATGACTCTGCTCGCTGTCTCCTTGGTTTCAAGGTGCGTACAGTACAGTACAGTCATTTCTGGGGAATGTGACTAAAGGTTTCAGAGCCTCCCACGCACGAGCTTCCTCGGGGCAAATCCAGATCAACCTTTTGCAGACTCTGAGTCTGCACCCAGTCCTTCAGGCCTGAGCGGGACTGTTTTGATGCTCACACCTGTAGACACGTAGAACGCGTGAGGCACTTTTTGGCTAAATATAGCACCAGCTTCTGTTTGCACCCTACCACTCCCTGTCCTCCTTTCTGCTCACTACATGTGCAGTCTGTTTCCTTCCAGCTGATGAGTGGATGGAGACCCGACTCACCGGAAATGGCAGAAATCGGTGCAGGTCTTGTCGCCGAGCCGGGCACAGGAGCAGCGCCCGGCGGACCTTTTGCGCCGCAGCAAGCCTCCGCCTAGGCCATAAACCGTTGTCTTACTGCGGATTGAAAGACAACCCGGGTCACATAAACATTCCGCAGACTTTGTTCTCTGTTACTTTGCAGCTGCCTTGTTTAATGGTCCAGCAATAATGATAGGAGGCTCAGTCTGAGGTTTCTAGGCTCAGAGTTGGAAGCACTAAACTGTTTTGGTATTGAATCCAAGTAGTTCAGGGCATTGTTGTGAGTCTAGAAGTCTAGATTAAACAAACAAAGCTGCTGTGTCTATTTAATGTGTCCTCTGTCGCCCACCTGGGTGTGTTGACCCAGATGATGTCCAGGTGACAGAAGTAGTGGCACTCGGTGTCCAGCAGCTCGCTGCAGGAGCAGCGCTTGGTTCTCACCCGGTGAGTCCGCACGCCGTCGACGGCTTCTGGTTCTGCCTGTTTCACAACCGGGAGACCCAAACCTGAAGAGTTCAGACGAAACCACAGCAAACACAGCCATAAGATCATTCACATTTCACTGCAGGGTAGTTTTATTACATTTTATTTTGAGTTATTTTACCATAAACGTTCAATGGATTAGAGCTTTTTTTTTTTCTTTTTCTTTCTCTAAATATTGCAGTGAACCACTTTGTGAAAAAGAATATTAACATTTTTACCTCGAGTTCAATTTTAGAAATGCATTTGGGAACTGAAAAAAATGTTTAAACAAAAAATCAGATTAAAAAGTATGAATTTCATAAAAAGTAGAAATGAGTTGAGATTGAAACATGTCAACATTTAAAATAAAAAAAACCTGTCTAGGTGTTATTTTGGTTGTTTATTCTGTGGCATCTGTTTCAGATTCTTTAAGACGTTGTTGTCATTTAAAAGTCATATTTTGAGACGACATTTGTCATGTTTTGAGCTATAAAGCTTTTACTGTAAAAGGTGTGGTGGAAAGAAGATGAGTTTGCAAAAAAAAGAAAAAAAAAAGTGCTGCGTCATATCACAATGTCTTGTGAGTGCTTTAAAATGTGATTGCTTTTAGCATACCAAAAATACACGTTTTGAATTTTTCCTTTCAATTAAGCTTGCTCTAAAAAAAAAAATCTGGTTTGGGAAAATTGCTTTTTTTGGAAAATCAAAAGAGCCGCTGCAAATGAACATCAACACATCTATATTGTTAGCAGGACTACGATTGATACGATGTCATGCAAAATTTATACCAAAACTTAATTATAATATTTTCTAAATGAAACCATGCTTTGAATATAAATTATAAGAAGAAGAAGAAGAAAACTTACCGTCCTGAACCGAGGCCCACAGAGTGACCAGAAGGAGAAGGCTGCTGTGAGTGGGCATGGCTGATGTGTTGTGGATGAGCCTCTGCAGGGAGAAACTACTGTCTGCTCACTTGCTGCTGCTGATCTGCTTGTTTTACTGCTGCTGTCTGAACTTTATACTTTGCCTCCTCTGTTACGTCACAACACAAGCTCCCCGCCCCCTCCTCCTATGGCGGCCACATTCGACCCCTGGGCATTCAAACCTGCATCACATTCCAGGAATTGTCTGCGGCTTTGAAGCCTCTGAGTGGTACAGATAGATATCAGCTGTCCAGTGACATTTACGACTGTAGGCGGATTCTGACTGAGGAATTATCTTGGCAGGGGAATAATGGGGAAATTAACATGAGATTACTGTACAGTGATGATATGATCCCAAAACCACGTGGCGGCACCGTGGCCGATGGAAGCACGTGGAGGAGGAGATTGGAGGAAAGAAGCAGGACGTTCTGTAACAGAAAAACGTCAAATTAGTTTTTTTAGGTTTTTTTTTTTCTGAGGACAAGATTCTGAAGAAATCATTTCTAATGAGGTTCACATTACTCAAACATTTAGGCTTAAAAACAATTAAAATATGTGTGGTTGCTTCAGGTACGATTTACACATATTTATCTTATTAAAGTTTGCTCATTACATGTTGCTGCTGCAGTTGTATTTTATTTAAGCACTTTTTTGGCATAATCTAAATAAATGTTACTTTTGTAAACAACATCAACTTGACATTGCTGGGGTTCATTACACAAGCTAAAGCAATAATAAACCTAACAAATGTTTAACTATTTTCTAAATCACCTCCTTTGGTAAAAACTGATTTCGTGATGATTTAACATCTAAATAAAATGCTTCATAAAGGTGTTTTCACTCTTAAAGTTTCTTCTGTTTTTGTCTTTTCATCAGTTTCAGATTATCGGACGTTTTATGTTTTTTTTTTTTTATGAGACAAAGATAATCTGAAGGAATGTGAATAAGTATTTCCGAATTAAAATTCCACTGATTAAACAACAACAAAACCACTTTCCAAACCAACTGCAGCCTGTGTGAGAAGATAGTTAATCAAGTATTGGTGATTACATGCTTCAGTCGACGAAGGGAAATTATATAAACCTTGGAACAGTAACTTGGCTCCATATCAAAAAAACATTAATACCATGTTTGGGTTTAGCGAAAATGTTACAAATTTTTTTTTTAAGTTTGTGAAAGTTTTTAACCAGATGTAGCAGAATGCACAGTCCAGACATTTCCACTGCTTAAACAGTGGAAATGTCTGGACTGTGCGTGCATTTGTTGGTCAACAATAGTTTTTGCCTTTAAAACCATTTTTTCCCAGTCTGTCTCTTAATGTTAAATCATTAACACTTACTTCAAGGCAAGAAAGGCCTGCAGTGCTTTAGATGTTGTTCTTTTTTCCCTTTTTATTTCAAATATAATCTCATTTATAAATGGTTCATCCACTCAGAGTATTTTTGATTGGTTGGACATTTCCTGATTGTTCCTCATTGTCTTTATTTGTGAATAATTGTTCTCACTGTGATTTGTTTGAGTTTCAATTCCCTTTATGAAGTTTGTTTTAAAAGTCTCTCACTCTACTTCATGTTGCCAGATTTCACAGGTCTGCTAGCAGGAAGAACTGGGTGTGGCAAAGGAATTATAATTCAGTTTTACAACAAATGTAGTGAATCGACAAAGACGGGCTCCGTTTCCATTAATAAGTCAAATCATTGAAAAGATCTTTCACTGATACAAGAAAAAAAAACTATTTGATGATTTGAGACGCAACAACAAAAGTAAAACAAGAAGAAATCTGTAAGCAGCGTTGCATAAAAATCCCTTCAGGAATGAGATCTAATGATGCAACTTTAAGCACGTCAGTAATCCTGACTAAATTTTTATTTCTTCCTTTTTCTTTTCATTAAAATAAGATATTTTTTACGGGAACAAATTGACAACAAAGCATTTTATTTTTTTTTTATCGTTAATGTCAGTGTTTTCATGATTGCGTTATTGCCTATTTTGTCACATAAAATTATATTTTACCTCTCTCCAGGAAATAATCGAGATGATGTAACTTATTGTTAAAAATGTTATTGATCCGTCTATTCCAAGCATATCACCTGCTTATTACTCTAAAAAGATGAATATGTCTAAATATTCTGACTTCATGGGCAACAATTTGCTCATCAATTTGAAACAGAGAAAATGAAAAAGAGGTAATGCCTGTCAATTAGAAAAGTCCCAATCTCAATATAACAGGTGATTTAACTACATTTACCCAACCCAGTCCCTCCGTCCACAGTAGACGGTGACATACAAGACGACTAATCCCAGCAGGGATCAGGGATCCTGGTCGTGTCCCACACGTGACCTGCTGAGACAGTTCAGCCATGGCATGTTCACGCTGATAGGCAAATACCAGCCCTCACACACGGAAACACAGGGAATAAATGTACAGATGTGACGTGCAGATACATCCACAATGATACTCTTTTCCCCAAAAGATTAGCACATGGGTTTTCCTGAGGAGAATGGGTGAAGAGTTGAACTTGTAACCCGAAGCAGAGTGAATTTCTTTTCTGTGAGGAAGAGACAAAATGTTTAATGAAACCTTTTAGCAGAGCTAATGAGAGACGTAGCCGCATTAGTGGCTCAGGAGAGAAACAGTTCAGAGGAGAACCACAAGTATAATCTGTAGGAAAGATGTGGTTAATGGCACCAGTAGCTCTTCCAATGGCAATGTGCAGGAAATAAACGACGGCAAACAGAAAAACAAGGCCAAAATAATCAGTCATAGTAGAGGAGAATGCTAGCAGCATTTTACACGTCGAAACGCAGAAACACTTCAGAGGAAAAAGCTGCAAATACTAAGTGACCAGTGAAGCAGTTGGTTACTATGGAGAATCTGAGCATATATACTGATGGAGAGACATGGCTGACCGAAGACTGAGAGAATGAGAGCATCAATAGATGCTGCTATTTGATCCGTCACGTGAAATGGAAGATATTACTTCATCAAACTTCTGTAGCTAAGTGGAAACAATTTAGTTTTGCTATATATTTCTCATTGCATATGAAATGACAATTTAATGACTTGTTGCTTGTTAAAACCCTTCTATGTAATCCTAAATTCTGATAAAAAAAAAAAAATAGCATAAACTTCATTTCTGTCTATCAAATGCTAAAATGTTTGGTATTTTTAAATGAATTTAAAAAAAAAGATTAAAAATAACCATTTATAACATTCTGGTTGCTGCAAAAATAGGACTATCTATTTTTGTGTTTCTAGAATGTAAAACATTTCCACTCATTCGTTGTCTGAAGAAAGCTGTAGATTGCTTTATGGTGGCAGAATAAGCAATAAAAAATTATGACTTGTATAATATAAATGTACATTGATACTGGATTTGATCAGCAAAATTTAAAATATTACCATGGCACTCTTAATCTGAGTCACACTAAACAGCATCAGTAAAGGGTTAAAATATTGAGTTGTTGTTATCTAAGTTGCTTTATAAACCAGTAATAAACAGTTGTAATTCTTAAATATCATCAACCTCTCATTAACTCACCCTCTCGGCTGTGTGATCTTTGCACTGTACTTTTGTTTGGATGACCTGATCGGTCATCAGATCATCTTTCGACCTCTCATCAATAAACTTAAATAAGGTGCCTGTGCAAGCTTTTCATAATCTCTGCCCTACTGCGCTGCTAAACGCAGTTCCTCGTGACGTAGGCGAATCAGAAGCACTGCGGCTGATGGTTTTGTGTGAAAACTTAATAGTTAAGTGACTCGCTCAAACTCCTGGGATTCATTTTCGTATCGCTAAACACAATGTGCACACTTGAGTTTGGATGACTCAGCATGACAAGAGATATTTTAGGCGTGACAGTGCTGATGTTTCTCAAGCAGACCCTGTGAATGTGTATCCGCAATAAAAACCCGAACTTTGTTGGAACTTATTCACAGAGGATCCGGCAGCTGACCCACTTGGCCCGGAAACTCTCTGGATTTTTTTAACAGGTTATTTAACCTGGTGTGGGCTCTGATTTGATAAGCTGGTTTTTGGTAATGTATGTGTCACCTGTTTATCTCAGAAATGAAATTAATTAACAATGTGGGTCAGGTGAGTCTGTAATAATGCCTGCTTGTATATGTGAGGTACTAGAGATAAATCTCAGGTTAGAGACTTCAGGTCTATATACTGATCCTCATGTTTTACATCAGTCTGTAAAACAGCAAATAGCAAAAACAAACAAACAAAAAAAACATTTTATTTGCAGTTCCCCCCCCAAAAAAACCCTCAAATTGAAATAAAAAAATCTTGCTTTTATTTATTGACTACAATATATCTATCATTACTGTAGTTATTGTTTTTAAACTCTCAAATTAGAAGAAAGAGAAATGTGAGTATATAACTTGTCAAAAAAGAAATGATTAATTATTAGCATAGTTGTCAGCCTAAAAGTGTTTTTAATGAGGTTTTAGGGGGGAAGGTTTCTGCATCTCCTGGACTTTATTTTCCAGATTTAATTAATGAGCAGAAAATATTGTTTTTATCAAAAAGGTTGCGGATCTCTGTCCTATACCCAATTAACCACATTAAATGAACGAGACTTCACATATTATGTGAAGTAGCTAATCAGAAGACGGCTCTCCGAGTACAGACCAATCAGCGGATGGCAGGAAGTTTACTGTGCCAAATCCCGCTTTCTTTTGTCACACTTAAATATTTCAGATAGACAAATTTTAACTTGCAAAGGATAACAGGAGTCATAACAAATGAAGAAACTTGCTTGGCTAAAAAAACATATATGACCCTCTGTAAAATTAACTAATTAATCTTATTTATTTTTTTTTTTTTTGTGGCTTAATTTCCTCCAAAGACCTGAAAAAGCAAAGACATTGAAGATTAGATTCTGACATCCCTTACATCGATCTGTTAGGAAAGAGTTACAACGCCATGTCCGAAGCTTTGGGAGTGAACCACAATACAATCCTTTTGAACAAAAGGAGAGAACATGAAGTACGTTGAATCTTCCCAGGACAGGTCGATCTACCGAAGGAACTCCAGACGCACAACGACGACTCAAATGTTAGATCAAAGCAATTTGCAGTTAAACCAGGAGATAAACGTGTTTTCCACACATGACCAGGTTGGTGTGGGTAGCCTTTTGTTTCCACTTATCTTATTGAATCATCATTTGAAAACTGCTTTTTCTTTTTTTTTTTTTTTTTTACATTTACTCGAGTTATCTTTTGTCTGATCATAGAATCTGATTTCACTGTATAAACTGAAACATTTTGGTTTGGCAAAGAGACAAAAACAGAAACATACAAAGTGGTAAATCTTTTTTCCACAGCACTCTGTACCACATATTCTGTTCTTAAAATCCCCGTGGATTAATAAGTCTAACCATCTAATAAACCACAATTTAGTGAAACAAATCACTACATTGTCCACAGATTGTCTGATCCTTTAT